CATTATTATTATCATTTTTATTATTATCTTTTAATTATCATTATTATTATCATTATTATCATCATTATCATTGTTTTTTGTTTTGTTTATCAATATTATTATTATCATTATTATTGTTTTATCATTATCATAATTATCATTATTATTATCGCCATCATCATCATAAAATAATTATGATCATGCTTATCCTCCTCATTATCATTATTATCATTCTTATTATTATCATTCTTATTATTATCATTAGTATTATCATCACTATTGTTATTGTTATTATCATTAATATCATTATCATTATTATCATTACTGATATTATTATTATCATCAATATTATTATTATCATTATTATTATCATTATTAATATTATTATTAATATTATTATTATTATTATTATTATAATCATTATTATCATTATTATGATGATTATTATCATTAATATTCTTATTGTCATTAATATTATTATCATCATTATCATTATTATTATTATTATTATTATCATTATTATCATTATATTATTATTATAATATTATTATTATTATTATAAGTAGTATCACATCGTTATTACTATCACTATTACTAATATTATTATCATGATCATTATCATTACCATTTTTATCATCGCTATTATTATCACTATCATTCTTCCTTACTATTAGTATTATTGTTATTATCATTATTATTACTATTATTCCCAATATTATTGTCATTATCATTATCATTATTATTGTTATTGTTATTATTAATATTACAATGATCATTGTTATCATCATCATTAATATTACTATCATCATCATTATTAATATCATTATTAGTTGTAGTAGTAGTATTTCGCTTTCATTAATATTATCATTGTTATCTGTATCATCATTATTATCATGTCCATTATCATTATCAGTCATTATCATCATCTATATCACTGTTATATTACACCTGAAATATCACTATCAAATTTATCACTGCGTCATAATTACTATGGCGACTAAAATGATAACGATGGAGAGGAATTAATGTGATTATAATTTAATAGTTCAATGAAATTGATGAATATTGCAATTAAAAGTATTCTAGTATCATTAATGTTAATTACCTTTAATAACGTCATCATTACTAATATTACTAGCACTATCTACATTGTGCATATGCATATACATATGTGTGTGTGTGTGTTTGCGTGTGTGTGTGTGTTTGTGTATGTTTGTGTGTGTGTGTGTGTGTGTGTGTGTGTGTGTGTGTGTGTGTGTGTGTGTGTGTGTGTGTGTGTGTGTGTGTGTGTGCGTGTGCGTGTGCGTGTGTGTGTGTGTGTGTGTGTGCGTGTGCGTGCGCGTGCGCGTGCGTGTGCGTGTGCGTGTGCGTGCGCGCCTGTGTAATAAAAGCTATCTGAACAGTTCAATATTCACAAGCTACACATTCAAAAATTCGTGTTGAACAAATTGCCATAGGCCTTATTACCCATGTCGATGTGTTGTTCATGTTCATCATCCCTTGGAGATGCGGATTATTAACGTCATCTTTTCTTTACTTTAGCGTTATTATCATCTATTTCCTATTCCTTCTCTTCGTTGTTTATTTATGATTTATTTACTATTAACTACACTGAATGAGCTGGATCACACGAGTCAATATTTAACTGCACATGGCATATGAATTAAGTTGATATCACAATTCCCTGTGTAATGCGGAAGTGTGTGTCGCTTATTCCAGTCGCAATATCTATAAGTCAGATTTCGTACCCATGTCACAAAGGAGGTATAGAACAGGTCTATATAGGGTCGTGCGGTGATGTGATTGGATAGATGTTTATCTCTTCTTCTTTGACCCCGGTTTGCTGATGCTTGTACTCCCTTTCAGCTGACCCGAGTTCGAGGGGCTGGATCAGGCGAGAACCCGGGAGCTTGTTAGCAAGGTTGTAAAGTTTTGTTAGTTTTTTAGTAACCACGATATACTTCCTCGATAATCTTCCTATTTTTTTTATCAAAGGAATTTTTTTTAAAGAATTTCCGTAAAAGTGATTATGTTTCTTACTCACGTTTTTACGTTAAACTGAAATAATGCAAGATTTGGTAACTGTTGTAAGGAGGTCAACAGGTGTATCAATGTAGCCGTGTTTACAGATAGGCTTTGTTTTTGCAAGAGTGTCAACGGTAGGCCTACCATGCAACAAGATTCTCTACAGATTAAGTTATATCAACACTATTGTTATTTTTCAGGCCATTGTTGTTATTGTTGTTTTTTATTATTATTGTTATAGTCACTATCGCCAATATTATCATTTAAACATGCTAGTGCCATTCTTATATCATTATAATTATTGTTATTATCATTATTATTATTGCTATTATTAGCAATAGTAGTATTATCGTTATTATTAGTAGTAGTAATAGTAATATCATTATCACTATCATTACTATTATCAGTATTATTACTACAATTTGCCTTTTATAGATCAGTAGCAATATTATATCCGAGCTTTACTTGAAGGATGACTGATATATGCCGTTGTTGA